ATGTTTTTAGCATTAGGGTCAGCTTTATAGGTAGGATTTATAGTTATAGACCTCTCATATTGGATAAGATGGGACTTAAATATTAATAAAGTTGAAAATGAATCTTTATATCAGAACTGTTTTATTTAATATTTTTATATATCGTGATTTGGTTAAATCATGAATAATTCACTTATCAGTTAACAATTAACCAACAATAAGGGATCGAACTATTAGGCGCTTCTATTTGAATTTCGAAAAAAAAATTTTTTGAAGGATTTATTATTTACTGATCGAATTTTATTTTCGATGTCTTCGATGTCAATTTTATAATTAGTATTCACATATTGTGCACATATTCGATATAACCATTAGACCTACTGTAACATATCACTTTATTCAGTATATCCTGCTTAGTCGTTGAATCCTTCTTAAATTCTTAATTGAAAATAAAAATAACAAAGTTTTAATAATTTATAGCATTGATTAACAAATTTAATTGGTTTTTGAATTTTACACTATTAACTGAGAACGGACATCTATTTAGATTTTGGTTATTATCCCAAATGAAGTAGAAATCCCAAACCCAAACATGTAGCAATGTCATAACTCAAAAAAAAAAAAAAAGGGTTTGATCGCAATCCTACTGCGAACAATTTCCCTACATTCTGATATTGCTTGGTGGCCTCAATCCTGTAACTCCTGATACTACTTGACTGCCAGGAGTTGCAGGTTTTAAAGGAGTAGTTCTAGTATAAGTATGTTTACTTATGCCAGATGGAGGAGTAATCATTGATGTTCGGTTGTTTGACTTTGACGAAATTCTAGTTGAAGTAATTACTGATGCAGGGGGTATTGGAGATGTTCCTCTACCAGGTGAAGAACCATATGAGACGGAACTTGTTAAGGATGTAAGAGAATCTGTTTCTGAAGCATTTGTAGGTGATTCTGGAGGAGTAAATATAATGTAATCGTCATGAGAGGAAAGGCTATCTGAACTCTGACGACTACCAATACGAGTAATTGTGGAACTTCTCAAGCCAGATGGTGATCTAATACCAGAAGGTGCATTTGAACCAAAGGAGGAATAATTATCGTTTGAAGAGTGATCATTAACAATATGAGATTGTGGTCTAATTTTTTTTATAGTATTTTGTTTAGGAGTTTCAGCGGTATTTCCGCCAAGCGGCCGCACGGAAGTTGCAGAACCTGGAGACTTTATCAAACTAGTTCTATGTGTCGTCCGTGACAAACCGGTTGAACTAGACGAAGAGGGAGATTGTAATTGTGAAACAGGACGTGCTATAGATACATTCT